ACAGACCAAGCATCCTGGACCAGGGGGGCGGGGGGGGGGGGGCCTACAGCCAGGCTGCTCAGCAGATCCGAAGCTGACAGGGGGAACTGATAGTCCAGAACAGAGGTTAGCAGTTCTGTAGGGCGGACACTCAGCTTTCTCCACTCAGGGCCAGCACAATGGTCCGCATGGCTCACTTGGCTCTCCTGGACTCGGGGACCTCACCTGCAGCCTCCTTCCTCACCTCAACACCAGAGACCTGCCAGGGTGGCTCCAGATAAAGAGAAGGCTCAGAGAGCTGAGGAGCTGGGCTACCAGGAAGGAAGGAAGGTGAGCTCAGCGCGCCAAAAGGGCAGGGTGGGATCCATGCAGAGGAGTCTGGCAGGAAACTCCATTTAGGTGTGAGGTCCTGCAGGGAGGGGAGGTGCCCCTGCAGACCGAGGTCTCCTCCCTCCCCTGGGGGTCCCAAGTAAGGAAGTATTCTCTAGAGCTCTCCTCAGCACAGGCAGCCGGAGGCCATGGTACCCATCTACCACACTCTGAAGAATCCAATGCAGTGGAGAGCCTGGACAGACCAGACCCTTTATAAAAGCCACCAGATGCTTGCAGCTGGCCTCAAGTCACACAGACAGGCAGCAGACCCAGAAATGGGAAGTGCTTGACTTCCTGAAGCCTCAAGGTTCAAATCCTAGCCAGCTGATTTCAGATGCTGCCTGCTTCCTAGAAACATCTGCCAGCCAGAACCTGCCAAAGGGTAGAGATGCAGGTCAGGGAGAAGCCGGCCCTGCAGCCCAGACATTGGCCTCTCACAGCAAATCCTCCTTACCCCAAGACCTGTTTTTTGATGTTAGGTGAAGCAAATGCTATCTTGCCACATTTCCTTAAGGTGAACCCCCGAATTAGGGATACACTTGGGGACCAGACATGGTGGCATATGCCTGTAATCCTAGCACCTGGGATGCTGAGGCAGGAGAACTGCCATGGGTTCGAGGCTAGCTTGGACTGCAGACCCTGTCTCAAAATCAAAAACCTCACTTAAACATTTTCCTATCACATTGCACACAATCTGATTTCATCAGCTTCTGCATTGTACATCAAAATTAACTCCCTCCCCCAATTTTTTGAGAGAGGGTCTCAATATGTAACCCAGGCTTATCTTGAACTTGCAGCAACCCTCCTGCCCCAGCCTTCCAAGTACTAGGATTATAGGTGTGTGCCACCATGCCCCATTTCACATCTAGAAATTAAGTACAGAAAAGGAGGGCAGCAGCTGATATTTATGTAGCTGGCTCATGCTCTATGCATTCACCATGTTAACCCATGCAATCCTGACATGAACTCCAGTACAGCTGGAAGCTCTGCACCTTGCTAGAGGACTCGAACAAGAACAGGAAGAGGGACCAAATGAAGGCAGATTCCCAGGGGACAGCCTTGTCCAGCCTTCTAAGGCAGCAAAGACTGAGAAAGGGGGTGTGAGCACCAGCTCCGTCTTCCCTTTTGGATCAGGCAGCACCTGTGTGCTGGGCTCAGGATGCAGGAGCACATCGAATAGCCACTTGAGTCCTCCGATGCCTAGGTAGCCACAAGGGACTACAGTGACCTTTAAGATGGCCATTCTGCATTGAACTTCGGAGTCAGGGAGAACTGGGTTGCAAACTCTGACCTTTAACTCACATTATGTTGGAATTTTGTTTGTTTGAGACAGGGTCTTGCTGTTTGCTTTAGGCTGGTCTTGAGCTATGTAGTCCACACTGGCTTTGAACTCTCAGCAGTCCTGCCTCAGTCTCCCAGGTGCTGAGATTACAGGCATGCAATACCACACCCAACTTAACCCCAACTTTTAAAAAGGCTTTTAGCCAGTTTCAGTGTTTAGCATCTAACACCACAGAGCTGCTTCCCTATCCGTTCAAGCTTTGGTTCCTCTGTGAAATTAAGCTGAGTACAATTATCTCATCTCAGTTTGTGTGAAAATTACAAAATATTCAATGTGACCTATTACAAATTTTTTTTTTAATTTTGATAAATTTTTTTAAATTTTAATTTATTTGGTCCAGGGTTTCACTACACAGCTCGGACTCATAGTGATCCCCCTGTCTCAGCAATGGGAATACAGGCATGTGGCCCATCTGGTTTTGGTGGCTGGCAGGGCATGCAACACCAGGGATGGAACCCGGGACCTTGCACTTGCCAGGAAGGTGCTTAAACCACTGAGCTATCTTCCCAAGCCCCTACAGATAAAATTTTTGATATGAACTATAAAATAAAATCCGTTAAAAGTCCAGAATACTAGCACACACCTGTAATCTCAGCACAGAAGAGGCTGAGGTGGGACAACTGCTCCAAATGCAGGGCCAGCCTGGGCTACAATAGTGAGTTCCAGACCATCCCATACATAGCAAGACCCAGACCCAAGAAACAAGATTTACAACTGTTCAGCTCTTCTTTCAAATGAAAAAAAAGATAATAACTGGAGACGGGTGAAATCAAATCAAAGCTCTCCCCAAGGACATGAAGAATGTTCCCAAGCCATCCCACTAGTGGCCAGCTGGGTCTCTGGGTTCATAGGTCGTCCCAGAGCCTCAGGGCTCTCAGAACTCAGCCCTCTAGGCAGTGGCACGCTGCCCATGGGACTAGCAAGACATGCTTGCAATTTGTTTTTATTTTTAGACACATCTGCCACTACAGCTTAAGAAGGACCAGTCCTCACAAAGCCAGGGCAGTTTTCCCCAAATTTTCCTAAAGCTGTAATTGTTGTTGCTTTCCTCAATCACTCAGACTGCAGCTTCATCTTCCATCAAGCATTAAAGTTCAAACTACTAAAAGGGCTGATTTTAAGTACATTTCAAGAAGGAGTAAAAATGGAGGAAAGGTATGTTATTGGAAGATCTGCTGAGAAAACCTGAGTTCCAAAACAGTAGTTTGAACCAGGCATAGTTGTGAATGTCTGTAATCTCAGCAGTTGGGATTATGCAGAGGGAGGAGGATCACTTCTGAGTCTGAGGCCAGCTGAATTCAAAGCCAGCCTGAACTATGTAGTGAGATCCTGTCTCAAAAAAAAACAAAAAACTAATAATAAATTTTTATGTAATCAAACATGTCAGGGTTTAATCCAATCTTGCTTTTTTTTTTTTTTTTTTTTTTTTGGTGAAACCAGTGAATGAATTCACGCCCTTGGGCTTGCCTGGGAATCACTTATTCTACTGAGCCATCTTCCCCTGCCCCTGGCCTTTCCTAATTACCAATCATTCTGCCATATCTTGATTCACATAAGGTGCTATGAAGAGACCCCATGGGAGCATGTGAAGACTGCTGGGATGCTGACCACCTTTTGGTCCGTTGGGTCCTAACTGGCCTCTCTTCTAGGTCTGTGTGGGTGATAACTGGGGATGGGAGGGGAACAACATAAAAGTTTTAGGTTAATTAGTTCAACAAGAGAGCACATCTCCTATCTAGTTAAAGCCCATACCGGATAGCAGCTTTCGCATGACTTTTTTTGGGGGGGACTCAGGGGTTGAGACAGGGTCTCACCCATGCAGTGAGAGCACTCTAGCTACTTCTAGTTAACCCACCAGAATGACTGCCCACTCTAACCCCAGCTTCTCAAATTCATAAGTGTCTCTCCATTCATTTAGCAAATATTTAACGAATGCCTACTCAGTTTCCACAGAATAGTAACTGAGGACGCAAAACTAGTAAGAAAGACACAAATTCTTGCCCAAATAGTATTGAGGGTAGGTGGCAGTGTCCTGAATGGAGATATAAAGCCAAAAACCAGAACTTTATGATTGCAACAAGAAAAAACTGCTGGGTGGAGGTCAGAAGGCAAAAAAAGACCTTCTGCAAACACCAATCTAGCGCAAAGGGCTAACTTCCGTGCCTCAGTTTCCTGCAGCCTTAACTTTCTGGCACTCTGCCGCTCCCTGCGACACGCTAAATGTCTGTGGTAAAGCATGCAAATGTTTAGATGAAGCTGAACACCTCCTTTACTTTGAAATGTTTACCCCCATCCGGATAACCCTTGTCTGCTCGGTCTTCATGTCCAAAATTCCTCCAGAGCCGCCACCTAAACAAACACCTCGTTTTTTTTTTTTTTTTTTAATGAAAATATACAGCAATATAGACATACACATGTGCCTAAGTCTCGAGAAGGCCCTCCAAAAGCGTGGGAAATCACGCCACCGACAGAGAGAGCAAAGGGGGCGGTCACGCGGGGCGACAAGCGCCCCAGGGTGCAGCTCCGCCAGGGTCAGGAAGGCCTCGCGCCAGCCGGGTGCATACACACCCAAGGCGCCAGGCCCGCCTCCAGCGCCCGGGCAGCGGGAACCGCGGACCGCCGTGGAACGGCTGGGAGGGCCCGCGCCCCCTAGTGGCGGGGCGCGTCCCTCTCCGCGCCCGGTCGTCACGGTCGCCGCTGCCGGCCTCGCTCCCTCTGCAGTCCCCGGCAGCGTCTCTCAGATCGGCTGCTCGTCGGCCTCTGACACCGCGCCGCCTGCCCAGCAGTTCCGTCCAGTTCCCGCCCCCTGCTCCCGCTCAGTCACCCCCTTCCACACGCGGCGCCGCCGTCCCCCGCCGCAGCCCGGCTGAGGCGCCCAGGGCTCCGCAGAGCCTTCCGGCGGCCCCGACCGCTCCATCGCGGCGCCCGGCGGGGGTGCGG